CTGCAAGCCGCGTGATGGTGTGCGCTCAAATGGAGCGGCGTCGCCATGTGGACCCTGCCACTGGCGCCTCCGGTGGAGCTCCCTCTGGGGCCGCGGAGCGATGCGTTGGGCGTGCCGAAACAGAGAAATTATACAGGGAGGGGCAGGAACAGAAAAAAGAGAGAGGAGGCGGGGGGGAGGAGGGCGACGACGAGGAAGGGCGAGGGGAAGAGAAACGACGGGGCAGGAAGAAGGGGGGGGCGAGTTAGTAGGGCGAGGTGGGAGGGGGAGGGGAACATGTGGGAAAGGGGGAAGGGGGGCCAAGGAGGGGGGCAGCCAGGGGAAAGGGGAGGGATGGGGCAGGGGGGAGGGTGGGCGAGTTAGTAGGGAGGAGGAAGGAAGGGTGATAAAGGGAGAGGGTTGGAATACGATGGAAAACCGCGAAACATAGCGTCAACCAGCAGCCCCAACTTGTCCGCAGCAGGGCCCACATTTCTCCGCGACGCCCCTGCGAGGCTCCCACAAGCGCCACCTGAAGGCCCATGACGCCGCCGAGAACGCCCACAATGCCTTGCAAGTTTTGCGCGAAAGCCCCCAGGGCATCTTGGAAATCCCTTCGCGCAAAAAAGCGAAATCTGCACCGGCGCCCAAGAGGCTTGCGACCCACAGCGCAGGCGTAGCGGCGGGGTTTGCCACAGGCATCGGAATAACAAAGCCTTCGCGCACCCCCGAATCCTCCCTGGGAGCTTCCAGGGGCGAGCTCCACGCAGTGTTCGCCCTGGCCGACCGACGCCCCCCCCCCGAAGGGTTGGGCCAGGCAAGCTGAAGTCGGGGATGCCCGCCACCATGCCCCCTCGCCCTCTTCCTCCCCCTCATCGTTTTCCTCCTCCTCCTGCCGATCTCTCTCCCCCCCTCCTCTTCCCCCCCCGCCGCGCCGCCATGCCCCCCCCCCCCTCGCCGCGCGATGCTACTGCGCCCCCGTTAGGACCGCGAATCGCCCGGCGAACGCGGCGCGACCTCGTGGACGCACCAGACTGCTTCGACAAACCGCCTAACCAAACTGACCGACAAAATGTCCACCCGGACCGTCGGGCAAAATTGCCGCGGGGTCCAGGGGGGGCGCATCCTAACTGTGAAATTACAATGAATCCGCCCCGCAGCCAAATCCAGGAACGATTTTGTCGCGACACTTTCTTGGGTCGGTCAGATTTTTGTCGCGGCCGTTCTTTTTTTTTGTCGGGCCACCTCTTCTTTTTTGTCGGCCCATTTTTGTCGGGCCGATTGTCTTGTCGGGGTTGTTGTTTTTTTTTTGTCGGGCGGTTCGGTTTTTTGTCGGTCAATTTTGTCGGGGGAATCGTTTTTTTGTCGGCTGGGCGCCGCCCGCAGCGCGCGGGCGCAGGGGGGCAGACGGGTCGAATGGCAGCGAGGGCGCGCGCGCGCAACGCAGAAGGAGAACAAGAAGGAACGCGAACCAGGGCAAGGCAAGAACGCAAGAACAGCGCGGGGGGGATGCGAGGGGGGCGGCAAGAGCAGATGATGACGAAATGAGAAAGGCATTTGCTTGTAGAGCACGTGTCCCGACGGATCCACGCGCAGCGGGCGCCGAAGTGATCGCGGCACCTTTGGTCTCCAATCTGTAACCTCGATGCTAGCGCAAGCGCGCGCAGGATGCTCTGTGGGCGCAGTGCTCATGAAGTCCGCCCCGCGCGTGACGCAGCAAGCAGGCGACGTAACTCAACTCCTTCGCGCCGAGAGGCGGGCGGGCGGCCACGCATGTCAAGAAACTCAAAGAGTCCCTCGCGGTCGCCCACTGGGCCTCGCAAAGGCCGATTAGGACTTGGACTCAAATAAGCCTGGCGGAATACCCAACCATATGCAGCTGTGGGTACCACGTGGGGCCGCGAATGCGTGGGGGGGTGCGCCAAGATGGCGGCGCCGCCATGTGGACCACGCCACTAGGGCCTCCGGTGGGGCCCCATGCGGGGCCGCGAACCGAGCGAGGGGTGCGCCAAATGGGGCGCAGCCGCCATGTATACCCTGCCGGCAGGGCCGTCAGTGGAGCTCCATGTGGGGCCGCGAACCGTGCGAGGGGTGCGCCCGCATGGGCGGCGCCGCCATGGAGCCATGCCATTGGGGCCTTCGGTGGACCTCCATGTGGGGCCGCGAAACGGGGGGGGGACGCCCACATGGGGCGGCGCCGCCACGTGGACCACGATCCAGCATGGATCCTTGCAGATCGGCGGGCCTGGCGAAAGCATAAAGGTATCCAAGAATTTCGGGCCCTGTCCGAGCCCATCGATATCCTCCTGCGTGAATGCATAATCTTCCCGGCAATCATGGTCGGCCCGCACGGCGCAAGAATAATCGCCCTGCCCGGCCCACTCGCGCGCCAGACTATTAGCAGGGGCCATTCCACCATGCCTGGTGTAATGGGGGCTCTTCTGTTTCGTGAACCCGTACTGGTCGCAAAAGTTCACAGGGGGGCCCGGGTGCACAAACACGGCAACACAATTTAATGCGTTCCTGCCCGCCGCCACGTTGCCGACGCCTCCCTGGTGTCTCACGCGAAAGTACGTCCCGCGTGATCGCGTCGCTTTGGATGCGCAGCGCGGTTTTCAGTCTGGTTTTGCGCCCCCGAGAATTTTCAGAGGTGCGCCTGGCGACTTGCAAATTTGCTCAACCAGTTGTCGTCGCGCCGCGACTTCTGGCGATGCCACCGCCCTCGAACGTGCGCGCGCGCACGTGCGAGCCCGCGGTTGTAGGTTAGCGCGCGCCGGCACGCGCATCGCGTTTGCTCGTCTACTTCTCCGCTCATCATGCTGTTGCGCATGGGGCTCGCGCGTGGTTGCGCGACCTTCAATGTGTTATTGAACGCAAGGGCGCCTTTGATGTCGCTGCGGCAGTGCCACTTGCTCAAGGTGTTTATTCGATTATCACCGCCGCCGCTGCCATTGGCGCGGCGGTTCCCGATCGCAACGTCGCGATTGGCAGGCAATTCGGTCCGCGCCCTTTCGCGCCAAACGCTGTTATCGTGGTCCTAATCGGGGCATCAGTTTGCAGCAAGGAGCATCGCGAGGGCGCTCGCGTTCTCGCGTTCGGTCAGCCGCGATTCGTCCAACGCTGTACCGATCATTTGGCGTTTAAGCGTTTATTTTTTTGAATTGCGTTTTGTCGTCAAAAGCTTCGCCAGTATAATGGCATTAATTCTCTTGCACAGGGTGTCTAGAGCTCCGACCACTTTATTTCGGCACCGCACCCCCCCCATCATAATCACCACCATCATCATCATCATCATCATCATCATCATCATCCACATCATCATCATCATGCGCCCCCTCCGTCTCAGCGCCCTCCCGCGGCCCCAGCGCCCGCCCAGTGCCCCCTCCGCCCCGACCACTTTATTTCGGCACCGCACCCCCCCCCGCTCCGCCCCCTCCCCCGCGCCGTCTCAGCGCCCCCCCGCGGCTCCAGCGCCCGCCCAGTGCCCCCTCCGCCTCGACCACTTTATTTCGGCACCGCACCCCCCCCCCGCTCCGCCCCCTCCCCCGCGCCGTCTCAGCGCCCCCCCGCGGCTCCAGCGCCCGCCCAGTGCCTCCTCCGCCCCGACCACTTTATTTCGGCACCGCACCCCCCTCCCCGCTCCGCCCCCTCCCCCGCGCCGTCTCAGCGCCCCCGCGCGGCTCCAGCGCCCGCCCAGTGCCCCCTCCGCCACGACCACTTTATTTCGGCACCGCACCCCCCCTCCCCGCTCCGCCCCCTCCCCCGCGCCGTCTCAGCGCCCCCGCGCGGCTCCAGCGCCCGCCCAGTGCCCCCTCCGCCCCGACCACTTTATTTCGGCACCGCACCCCCCCCCCTCCGCCCCCTCCCCCGCGCCGTCTCAGCGCCCCCGCGCGGCTCCAGCGCCCGCCCAGTGCCCCCTCCCCCCGACCAATTTATTTCGCACCGCACCCCCCCCCCGCTCCGCCCCCTCCCCCCTCCCCCCGCGCCGCTCAGGCGCCCCCGCGCTCCAGCGCCCGCCCCAGCGCCCCCTCCGCCCCGGCCATTTTATTTGCGGCAACGCACCCCCCCCCGCTCGCCCCTCCCCCGCGCCGGTCTCAGCGCCCCCCCCGCGGCTCCAGCGCCCGCCCAGCGCCCCCTCCGCCTCGACCACTTTATTTCGGCACCGCACCCCCTCCCCCGCGCCGCCCCCTCCCCCGCGCCGTCTCAGCGCCCTCCCGCGGCTCCAGCGCCCGCCCAGTGCCTCCTCCGCCCCGACCACTTTATTTCGGCACCGCACCCCCCCTCCCCGCTCCGCCCCCTCCCCCGCGCCGTCTCAGCGCCCCCGCGCGGCTCCAGCGCCCGCCCAGTGCCCCCTCCGCCACGACCACTTTATTTCGGCACCGCACCCCCCCCCCCGCTCCGCCCCCTCCCCCGCGCCGTCTCAGCGCCCCCCCACGGCTCCAGCGCCCGCCCAGTGCCCCCTCCGCTTCGACCACTTTATTTCGGCACCGCACCCCCCCCCGCTCCGCCCCGGCCCCCGCGCCGTCTCAGCGCCCCCCCGCGGCTCCAGCGCCCGCCCAGTGCCCCCTCCGCCTCGACCATTTTATTTCGGCACCGCACCCCCCCCCGCTCCGCCTCCTCCCCCGCGCCGTCTCAGCGCCCCCCCGCGGCTCCAGCGCCCGCCCAGTGCCCCCCTCCTCCCCGACCACTTTAATTCGGCACCGCCCCCCCCCCCGCGCCCCGCCGCCTCCCCCGCGCCGTCTGAGCGCTCCCCCGCGGCTCGAGCGCCCGCCCAGTGCCCCCTCCGCCCCGACAACCCCCCCCCATCCTCCGCCCCCTCCCCCACACGTCTCAGCGCCCCCCACGGCTCCAGCGCTCGCCCAGCGCCCCCTCCGCCCCGCCCACTTTATTTCGGCACCGCAGCCCCTCCCTGCCCCGCCCCTTCCCGGACACCGTCTCAGCGCCCTCGGGCGTCAGTTGGAGGCTTCCTGGGAACCCGTCAAAGGTCTTTGAAACCATCTTGCGGGGGACGGCCCTTGGAGTCTCCTCGCGCTCGCCCTCTGGAGCCCCTCTTGCGGCCCTGTGTTGTTCACTCCTTCTGCGATTTCTGGCATCCTCTCCCCCCCCCTCCTCCTCCACATCCTCCTCCTGCCCCTTCCTTTTTGTGCAAGAGCCATGGCACACGTGCCACTTGTTTCGCCGGCGCCGACGTCGGCAACGACGCCAGCATCAGGGCCATCTCGCTCTCGAGCGAGAGATCAGACAATCTCACCAAGTGCGGGGCGAGTGGCGCGCGCTGCGGGCTGCCCGCTGCGACCTGGCTGGCCCGAGACTCTTCGAGCAGATGGCAGCGAGCCGCGTGCGCTGGACAGATTGCGTCGTCATTCAGTGAGTTGGGCGGCGGCGGCGACGAGGCGCATGGCGTCTAGTAGCGCAATGCGGGGCGGCGGCGCGCGCGGCGAGTCCGATCCCGGCGGGGCGCCGCGGAGCGGCGCAAAGGGCACCTGTTGTGCGGCGCCGATGGCAGGAGGGAGTTCTTCGCCCTCGACGCGGGCTTCCGCTCGCGCGCATTATCGGCGGCGCGCTGCGGCCCGCCCTGTTGCTCGTCGCAGCCGCCAACGCAGCTCCAAGGCGCCTGGGGCTCTCAAGTGTGTCCTCTGGGGCGTGGCTTTGCGTCGGGGTAGTATTGGGTTTTATGGTGGGGTTCTACTGTTCGCTTCTGGGGCCCATTTTTCTGCGCCCCATGTTCTGCCGTCTGTGCTGAACGTGCACCATGGCATGCGCAGATGGGATGACCAGCGTCACCATGTCGAGCAGCGAGCAGACAATCGGTTGGTGAGCTGTGGGCCCTCGCATCGGTCACGCGGCCAGGACAGGCGCGGGCACAACATGGTTTGAATGCTACCGGCTTCGAACTCTGCTATTCGCATCCACCTGATCAGGTTTTGGTTGTTATTATGTAATTTCCTCTCTTTGTTCCCGCACCTTCCTTCGTTTTCCGTTTGCTCTTTCGTTCTATGCAGGGGCAGCGTGTGTTGAGCCCCTCGGGCCCTGTTGGAGGCATGTTTGAGCCCTCTTGGAGACATGTTGGGCCTTCTCGAAGCAGTACTCGGTCGCCTTGTGGCCATGTTGGTGTCCTTGGTTTATTGCACGAGCTGGGCCGCTTTGGAAGCTCGGGTCGCACATCCGTCGGTTTGAATGGGAGGCCCTGCGGCGCTCGGAAGTAACGCTTGGGAGCGCGGGAAGCGCAGAATCCTGTAGCGGACGTTCGTTGGCTGAGGGATCTAGGAGTTAGCAGCCATGCGGGAAGAGCAAAATCTTCGAGCGGGCGCGCATGGAATGAGGGGTCAGGCATTAGCTGCCATGCGGGACGTGCGTGCACCATTCTCGAGCGGGCACGCGTGGACGGGGGGGGGGGATTAGGCATTATCTGCCATGCTGGAAGTGCACCATCCTCGAGCGGGCACGAGGGAAGTTGCCTCGGCAAGGGGGGGCGGTGCACGCAGGAGTCTGCAGGCAGAGAAAGGGCGTTCCATTATGAGAATCCAAAAACCCCCACCAGACGGACTTTGGCATTCTTCCAGGCCTCAACGTGGCAGAAGGCACGGTGGTGGATTATCTAGTCCACTCGTCCGCCCCGGCAGATTCGAACTGACGTTCGCGCAGCGATGTTCCGACGTCAGCACGACGTGGCCTTCAGGATTTTCTTCAACCCTTGTGGGCCACTTCCCTTCTCCTAGTCCTTGTCTAGGAAGGGGCGGGGGGGATCAGAGGCAAAGGGAGGAAGGTGGGGCATAGTGAGCACTCAAGATGGCGCGCCGACCGGCCTGGGATTCACGATCGTTTTCGTCCTACCCTTGATTCTGGCTTGGACGGGATGGCGGCGCATCAGATGAGCAAGAGGTCAGGATAATGATGCGTTCCAATTTTTCCAGTTTTTCTTGTCCCGAACGGCCAGAGACGAATCCGGCCGAGCACGAGTGTCCAATGGTCGCCACAAGCTCCGGAATTTCTGGAGCGCATCCTGACCCAATCGCATCATGGCATTATTCGGAGGTTCCCAAAAGGTGCGGCGACCACACCGTGTGGTGAGTCAAAGGGGAATGATTGGGGGTCGTCGCGCAGTTTTGGGTCATGGGCCGTTCTCCGAGGATTTATCGGGCGACACGGTGCGTCACCACACCAGTCTGGGACCCCCAAATCGCAGCATGATTGCGACGTTCTTACGGCCAGTGCCACCGACCCTGAAGGGGCGGCGACGATGACGACGACGGCGACGACGGACCGGACACAAACGAAACAGCGTCAAGGGAGGGGAGCGACGACGACGACGACTCAAAGGGCCAAACCGCTCACACATGCCGACATGGTCGGCGCATTCCTGTGCTGGAGTAGCTCGCCCAGCGCATCTCTCAGCCTCTCGCGCCGCCGCAGCCGTCTTCTCAGGCCCGATGCGCGCCCCAGGGCGAGCCTCCCCAGCGCCGCCGCCGCACGTCGCCGCCCGCAGGGCGAGCCCCACTGGGAGGAGCAGGAGCAGGAGAAGCAGGGTGAGGAGGATGGTGGTGATAGCGATGATGGTGATAGACATGATGGTGTTGATGATGATGGTGGGGGTGTTGATGTTGATGGTAATGCTGATTATGATGCCGAGTCTGACGATGGCCGTGGCGGTGGTGCTGGTGCTGATCGTGATGGTGATGGTGTTGGTGACGGTAATGGTGGAAGTCGCGGTGGTAATGGTGATGATGGTGATGAGGACGGTGATGATGACGAGTTTGTTGATGAGGGGGTGGGTATAAACGTACGGGGTTGTCGATATGGATAATGGGATTGATGGTGATGATGGAGACGATGTTGCTGATCTCAATGATGAAGGCGACGGTACTGATGCTGATACGGAACAGTTCGCACCACCAAAAGGGTGGGGTACAAGGAAGATGGGCAATATGAGGATGAGGATGAGGATAATGATGAGGATATTGATGGTGATTATGATGGTGTTGATGATGATGATGATGATGATGATGATGATGATGATGATGATGATGATGATAAGGATGACGATGATGATGATAATGATGCGATTGATGATGATAACAATGATGACGATGATGGTGATGATGATGATGATGCTGATGATGCTTATGCTGATGATGATGATGAAGATGATGATGATGATGATGATGATGATGATGATGATGATGATGATGATGGTGTTGACAGTGCTGGTGACGGTGTCGATGGCGATGACGATGATGTTGATGATGATGATGGTGATGATGGTGATGGTGATGATGATGATGGTGCTCGTGTTGCTGATGCTGGCGACGATGATGATTAAGATGATGGCCCGACGATGATGATGCTGATGATGATGGCGCTGATGATGATGATGTTGAAGCTGCTGATGGTGGTGATGCTGCTTATTTTGATGATGATGATGATGATGAGTATGCTGATTATGCTGCTGATGTTGATGACGATACTGATGATGATGATGATGAGGATGATGGTGGTGGTGGTACCAATTATGAGGCGTATGATGGTGATTATGATGCTGATGGTAATGGTGGCGATGCTCATGCTGATGATGATGCTGATACAGATGATGATGATGATGATGATGATGATGATGATGATGGTGATGATGATGATGATGATGATGATGATGCTGATGCTGATGCTGATGCTGATGCTGATGCTGATGCTGATGCTGATGACGATGATGATGATGCTGATGATGATGCTGATGATGATTATGGTGATGATGATGATGATGATGATGATGATGATGATGATGATGATGATGATGATGATCCGTCGCAGTACAGACAGTCTTGAGTAAAGACAGGCTGGAGACAATCCTCTACATCTGGTCAGCAACAGCGCTCGGCAAGCCTGCATCTCGGACATACCAGCTGCAGCCAACCGCCGCAGCATGCCAGAGCATGAGAGTTCGGCATGGCGCATCGAACTCAACGCAGCGCAAGCGCAGCGAAGACACGGGCAACCAGGCGTGCACCATTTTCTGGCTCATGGCATCTCGACGATCTGTTCACCCCCGCCCCCCCGAAGACAAAACCATGGAGGGTACGAGCTACTCCATCGGTTCCACCTCCACCTATCGGCTTAGCACAGGGCTAGCAGGCGGAGGATAGCTGCGCCAGCATTCGCATGGTGCGCTTGTCGCATGGCGGCGACGCTACATTGGACGGACGATCTGGCATGCACCACCTTCTCGGCTCCTTGCCTTGAGACGCTCTGTGCACCCCAAGCCCCCCATGGAGACAGAGCCTCTGGTGTACGAGCTATCCCTCTGGTTCGGCCTCCGCCCTTCTGGCAGAGGCTCAAGCGGCGATGGCGAACAGCCGCAAGCGGCGGGCGCAGATGGCGGATTGGCGTGCACCATTTTCCAGGCTTCTAGCCTCACAGACGGTCGGTGCACCCCGATCCCCCTTTGGAGACAGATCCGTGGAACGGCTATTCCATCGGGTCCCCTCCACCATCGTGCGCGCTGACCCTGTAAGAGGGTCGCGGGCAGAACAGCGGCAGAGAGATTGCGCCTGATCCGACTTGCCTACCAGTTGCACCGACGGGCGCCTGGCAACTACTTTAGCGGGCTTCGAAGCATGCACCACCTTCAGGTTCCTGGCCTTTTCGACGGTTTATGCACCCTTCTTCAAGACCCTGGAGACAGAACGCGGAATGCACGAACCACTCCCCATTCGGGCTTCCATTAGCAGCGCCCTGATTGCTCGCAGTGGATCGGTCTTAGCGGCGGAGGGCGGCCGAGGTTGGCTGTGCACCAAAGGACTGGCCGAGGTTGCATCACCCCCCCTTGGAGATATAACGAAGGGTGTACGCGCTACTCTAACGGTTCTCCCTCCGCTATCGCGCAGGCTGACCTTGTAAAGGGGTGTCGCGAGCAGACAGAGGCGGACCGTGGCCCCCAGGCCTGCGCCGTGGGTTCCTAAAGCGGACGAGCGGCTGCGGGGTGCCTGTGCTGCCCGAGCCAGCCGGGGCCAGGCTTCTTTGCTGACGTGAGGGAACTGCTGCCTGTCTCGCGCTGGGTCCCTCCGGGCAGGGTTTACTGAGGCCTTCCAGGCGCACGCTCTGTGTTCATGCCTCGCGGACCACGCAAAACAAGCGGTTGCCCGCCCGCCACAGACGATGTGTGCCGGTGGACCCCCAGCGTCCACCACAGCGGGAGCGGCGGCGGAACGGGCGGCTGCGGAGGTTGGATTTCAGCCGCTGCTGCGCGCTCTGTCCGCTGCTGCTTGAGCTCGACGCTGCCGTGCTGCCGCCTGCTCACTCGTCTCTCTGACGTTCGCGCTGGAGTGTCCCCCTTCGGCTCGGCTGGAAATGAGTGCGGCTCCTGCTGCAAGGGGTGCCGCTGCTGCTGACAGGGAAGGGCCGCCGCTGCCTCCTG